TCCATTGGAAGACCATTCTACTGTTGTACAGTTCGTACCATCAGGAAGTTTTCCCTTATATTTAAAGGAAATCTAAGTAGCTGCAATGTATACCGTTATTTCAGGTCCTAGTTTCTGTGGAATGGAAAAATTCTTGACCATCTTCCTGAAGCTGACCTTTATGTACTTGAACACAGCTATGTCTTCCTTTCATCTTCTTTCCAGACTAAAGAACCTAAGTTCCTTCAGTTGGTCCTCACAGGGTAGGCCCTCAAGTCCCTGTATTGTCTTTGTCCTCCTCTGAGCCTTCTGTAATCTGCCCAGAACCATACACAGCACTACAGGGGCAACCCATCAGTGGAAGATGGGCTCTGCTGCCAGGCTGAGACCCTGGAGCTGCCCCTAGATGCCTACTAGTGATGCCAGGCCTACTTGTCACTGATTTATCTGCCTAGAAAAGTCCTTAGAGAGTGATCCTAGATAGCCTGTGCCCATATGAAGAGCCATACTTGAGCCTAGATCAGGACATGGAGGCAGTAGCGGTATATCTGGAGGTGTATGTTGTCTCTGAAACTGAATGTAAATTTATCATGCTAGGATGGGGCAGGACAAGGACTGCTTCTGGATATCTGCAGCTAGTAGAGCCTGCAATGTATTATGGTGATAAATTGGGGTCACCCAGAAAATGCCCTTTCCTTATCTTCAGAGGAGAACTGTCCAATTAGTTGCAAAATGGATAGCTAGAAGTCCAGGACTTCATAAACATCCAAAAAGTAACTGAATTCGACGAAAACATGGAAAGAATCGTGATGGGGTTGGCTGAATCAACATTCAGTACATTCCCTTGTTCAGATTATAAAACCAGGAGGAAGTCAGGCTTAAACAGGAGAGGGGAAGGTGTTGGGCCAGGAGCGGGGAAAACCCAGATTCTTGTCCCCTTTCAGCCATGGAAACTCTCTCTTTCCAGTCTCTCTCTCACCCAACCTTCCTCACAGAGGTTGTTGTAGTGGGGAAAGATATGCCATCTTGAACTTCTGAATCAAGGACCCAAATCTGAGTCATCGCAACAGAAGATTTGTGATACATGAGGACATCATACAGTAGGCCATCTGCTCTTAACCTCTGCATTTTTTCAGATTGTCTTTGACCTCCTTGAAATGGGAACAACGATCAATCTGGGCCCATTAACACAACTTTTGTCATCGGCATCGTATCATTTAAAAGCTGCACACCACCAGGCCAGAAGTAAGAGGAAGGGGTGTGTGGATTAATGGAGATTTTCGGTTTAGGGTGCTGTGTGTGTGAGTCCGTTCCATTATTTGCCTCACAAGGAAAAGGATAAGGTTCTTGGACTGGTTCATGACCCTGCTTGCTTCTTAGATCCTTCCCTCCCTTCTGGGAGCCTGTAAAGCAGTGTTTCTCAACCTTGGCAGCTTGAAGATGTGTGGACCTCATGGCTGGGTGGGGAGTTCTGGGGGCTGAAGGCCACAAATCTTCAAACTGGCCAGGGTGGGAAACACTGCTGTCAAGGCACCACCGTGCTACTGATTTCTGAGTTCATCAACTTCTCTGCAGCAGGTGGAGTTTCCTGCAGCCTTAAATGAAGTTGTGGGGAGCCCTTCATGAAGGATGCCATCTCTGGACCCTTATAGACCAATGCCCAATATTTGTATATAGCTAAGTTGGTGATGAAAGCAGTAATGCTGGAGCTCCAAGGACTTTTAGAGGAAGTGGATTACCTTTTCAGTCTGGATGTAGATCTGGATTTGGCACAAAGACAGTCTTGATGGCCCTGATGATGTATCCCAGGAGAGACTTCAGGAATGGGACCCTGTTACAGCTTCTGAGTCTCTCAGGGGCTTTTGATGCCATCAACCCTGGCATAATTTTGGAGTACTTGATCGGCTGTGAGTTTTTTCGTTTGTTCTTTGTTTTGGGGTTTTTTTAAAAAAAAAAAATTATCCTGCCTTTCTTATGTTTATAAATAGCTCAAGGCGGTGAACATACTTAATACTCCTTCTTCCTCCTTTGCCCCACAGCAACAACCCTGTGAGGTGAGTTGGGCTGAGAGAGGAGGACTGGCTCAAAGTCACCCAGGTGGCTTTCCTGCCTATGGTGGGACTAGAACTCACAGTCCCCTGGTTTGTAGCCTGGTGCCTTCACCACTAGGCCAAACTGGTTTAGTTGGAGGAGCCTTCACCACTAGACCAAACTGGTTTAGTTGGAGGAGTTGCTGTGCAGTAGTTCCACTCTTATGTCTTTGGAGGCTTTCAGGAGATAACACTGGGAGGGATCTGCTCAACCTCCTCGGGAATTGTTCCTCAGGCTTCTAATTTCTCTCCCGTGTTAATTAAGATCTCTGTTGGGAAGAACCATTCACTCTGCTTGCTTGGAGTGTGTGCATCAGGAAATGAGCAACACCCATCGTTTGCATCCCTGAGTCACTGAAGCCACTCTGAAAAGAGAAATGTAGGCAGAGGAAGAAATTGTTAACATTCTGTGTTTTCAGCTGTTTTGTAGTCCTGGAGGACATGGCCTAATTGACTCATTACGGTCAACATCTAATATTCAGCCTACACAAGTTTTAATTAGCCCATCCGGTGTTTATGCTGATCTGCAGATACTGAGCCTAAGAAAATCACAGCGGTGATGCTGGATCAGCCACGATCCATCTCAATCCAGCCTTTTCTTTCTCTCGGGGGCCAACCAGATGCCTCTGGCATGCTCACGAGCTGAAGATGGAAGCTTCCCCCTCCCTCATTTGCTCCCCAGCAGCTGGTATTTGGAGGCAGGCTACCCCCAACTTGGAGGTGACATGCCGTCTTCAAAACTCATAGTCCTCAGTAGAACTGTCCTCCGCAAATGTATCTGATCCCCCCTTGGTGGACCATCCAGGTTAGTGGCCACCACCACATCTTGTCATGAATTCCACAGATGCTTCTCGGTGGTGAGATCCATTTGGGGGCAAAAAAGAAAAGAAAAGGGACAAACATCAGCTTCAAAAAAAAAATAGCAACAAGGAAAATGGGATGAAATGGCAGCTATGCCCATGGTTAACCTATGAGATATGGGGGACTGTGTTTGTCCATCTGTCCATCCATCCATCCATCTATGTGCCTGTCCAAAGAATGCTCTCCCCCCAGTCTAATCATAGCACCCTCCCTTTCTGGCTAGAGAGGCAAACACTTGCTGGAAGGCAAAGCAAGACCTTTGTGGGTGTGCACACCCCCACGCCCCCTCCCTTGCTACAGAAGTCCTGGGAAACTGCTGTGCAACTCCTCTTCTCAGCTACTGCTGCTAGGCAGACCTGGATGACTTCTGGATTCTGGGTTAATTAGGAATGCTGTTGGGATCAATGTCCCCAGCCACTCCGGCTGCGAAGTCTTAATTAATGAAGCAGAGTGGGTGAATTGGTTCATGGAGGAATCCTGCCGTTTGGATGAAGAGCTCCGAGTCTGGAGCTCTTGAAGAATGAAGAGAGTTTGTGGTTTCCACAGTCCAGAGGGAAGCGACGTTATCGGTTCCTAAGATGGTAAAGAGTCCTGAGGCTAAATCAGGCCAAACATCATTCTACTCCAGTGTTTCTCAAACTTGGCAACTTTAAGATGTGTGGACTACAACTCCCATTTCTGGGAGTTGAAGTCCACTTATCTTAAAGTGGCCAAGTTTGGACAACACTG